AGCATCTTCAGGAGGAAATGGAAACTGGATTCAGGAAAAAATTACTGAATAATTTTTCTCGACGGATCTATATGGTTTTTGTGGTGCTGAATCTGAAAATTTAGTTATCGACTAGATTCGAATATGGCTTCAACACGAAAATCGCAATAAACCATGAAAATTCGGGACTTATTTTGATTTTTTGCTTATAACTCCAAAACGACGTGATTTAGAGAAAAAATACATCATACAAAAATGGAAGCTTATGAAATTTACTGCTAAAAACGAAATCGAAATCGCTCGATATTCGTATTATATATTTTAAATTAGTCTTCATCGCCAGGCTAGTGTTGTTGTTCCCCCTTCCTCAACATTTATTTTATGCCTTCATTTTTAATTTCCCTCCAAATCACAAATATACAACAATTACGCTCCATTCTGAATCTAGCACGAGAATTAAAATTTGTCTATATGTAGTACCATTTTCTATCCTCCACGATTGTTGCTGAAGTGATTTGTTTCAAATTTTTTGTTATTTTTCCATTTTTCGTGAGTGAGTCAAAATGCCGAACGATAATTAATGTACTGGGGTAGTTTCATTAATGTGAACCCCTCTTCATGTTTTTTGTTTTCCACCCATTGAAAAAATTTGATACAGATACAGGGAATAAGAAAATATATATACTCTTCAAATTGAATGTGCTGTATATTTTGATAGATATGAATTCCTTATATCATATATTTGAAATCAGGATGAATTGATGAATCTAAATCTATCAAAATATACATCGCATTCCATTCGAAAAAAATATATTTTTCTGTATACCCTGTATATTTGAAGACATATTGCATCATTGTCAATATGAGTGAGATGAATGAAAAATTGTATAAAATCAGCTTCAATTTTTTTTTCAATGAATGTGAAACAAAACAGATGACGAAGGGTTCACATTAATAAAACTAGCCCTGTACACTTCGTGATATGCCGCTGGACGATGGACACGAAATTGTGAGTGTGCAGAGACGGTTGAAAGCCATTATAAAAGCTAGCGTGAGGAGGAAAGACAGTGGGTATGATATATTTGAAAGATCAGACTCTCTCACAGTTCAAGTTTCATGCAGGAAACAATACACCGAGGAAACGAATATTATTTTGTTAAACAGCCATTGTCGCTGCGACATGTCGTGTTGAAGTGAACTTGATGAGTGACGGACCTTGATTTAACAAAATGTAATCCATATTTTACCCCCTTTTGGGAATCACATTTTGATTTGTTTGTAATGTATTTTAACTCAATGTCGGTAGTTTTGAACTGGACCAAAGATATTTTTATGGACGAATTTTCCTGTTAACCTGACGAGTACGCACTGATGATGACTTAACAGTCGAAAGCGCTCTGCTACGAATATTGAATAAATTATTTTGCACGAAATACAAATCTTCCTTTTTTCGTATACAGGGTGTTTCGAAATTCGACCGACAACGTTTGACAGGTGATAGCCCTCGTGATTTCATAATCATTGAGATAGGAACATTCGGTCTTCAAGTGTTCAGTTCTCGAGATACAGGGCGTTGAAGTTGAGAAATGAAAATAGTTGTTTCGCAATATCTCAAGAATAATTGAATATAATGCATTCAACTTCGGTATATGGTTTCATCTTTGAATGGGCCATTTTTTGACCTGGAAGCCATTCCGGACATTTTGTCCAGTGGTGCCCTACAGGGGGTTGTGGCATTTTTTCCTTCCATATTTTCTACGCCACTGATTGAATTTCGATTATTTCCAATTCCTCGAATTCATTGTTCAATTTTGTTCAGAAAATGCATCACCTTCAACTGAGCTGAAATAAACAGTTTTCGAGATATTCGACCCAAAATAGAAGATTGCATAGTAATATTTCATCATTTTCAGTAGTAGAAAATTGCAAAAATATTTTTCTGGTGTTGAGTAGATTAGATACTATTCAGATCTCATGCTATAGCTGAACAGAAATAGTTATTCCACGCATGAAGAGAGAACAAAAATGTTCGTAATTTTCTAATACTGAGGAAGATGAAAAATTACTATGCAAACTTCTATTTTGGGTCAAATATCTCGATAACTGTTCATTTTAGCTTAGTTGAAGGTGATGCACTTTTCCAACATAATTGAACAATCAATTCGAGAAATTAGAAATAATTGAAATTTCATCAGTGGCGTAGAAAATATGTGCGGAAAAGTTATCACAACCCTCTGTAGCGCACCTCTGGATAAAATTCTCGGAATGTCTTTCTGGTCAAAAAATTAACCATTGGAAGATCAAACCATATACCGAATTTGAATGCATTTAATTCAATTTTTCATGAGATATCGAGAAAAAACTATTTTAATTTCTCAACTTCAACGCCCTATATCTCGAGAACTGAACACTACAAGACCGTCTGTCCCTATCTCAGTGATTATGAAATCACGAGGGCTATCACCTGTCAAGCGTTGTCGGTCGAATTTCGAAACACCCTGTATATTCACGTGCGCACAGCCCAGCAACCCTCCCTGCTCACTTTCACTATTTATCGAACAGATAAGGTGTAGTGTGGCACCTGTAGTTATTTTACGATCGAAAGCGCTCATATGAAATATATCAAAAGTGATGGTGGCTTCAGTGGGCTTAGACTGCTTAGAGGCTTCAGTCCTGCAATTTTGTCGAGATGGACTCAGGCAATGCCTGCACTGCGCCACGTGTGTGGGGAGAGCACGTGGATAGTTGAGACTCTGGAGGACGAAGCCGATAGAAACACCATGTTGGAGTGGTCCGAAGAGCATCTTCCTTTCCCAGCAGCTTTTCATTCAGTTTCCCTCGGTTCAGGGATTGTGGGAGATGACAAAACAAATTGTCACTTGGCAAGCGAAGTAGGCAGTGAAGAAATGAAGCAGATGACTAACAAAAACTCCAAATCATTGAAATTCAAACGTAATGATAGAGTGCGACCCCTGGCAACCGTGAAGAACACAGTAACAGTGCACAATCAACCACGTGTTATCAATCCAACTCTCATATTCCACAGAATGGCAGTTGTGAAAGAATCGGGCAAAGAACTCAAAGATTTCGTATGCTTCGAGCTCACACCGTATCCCATGTCCCTCTTTGATGAGGGAGGCATGAGGAAAGGAACCAAATCCACGTTATATAAGTCCTTCAAACATGTCGAGGAAATTGAGCTGCTATCGATTGGGGCTTCTTGCTTCATCGCGTTGTTTGGCAGAAAGATGTAACATTCGGAGAAAACTCTCGGTATGTGAATTTTGTGAAAGCCCATTACTCGTCAACCGCTGCAGTAATATTCGATGGATATTCTGACCCAAAACAGAACACAAAGAATATGGAGCGCTTGAGGAGACAAACAAAGAAAATTTCGACAGACATAATCATCAATGAGACAATGACTGTAGCAATATCAACAGAAATCAATTATAGAACTGTATACCTAGTGCCGAAAGAAGAATCACAAACTTTGGAAATGCTTTCCATCGAAAGTGATTTGATAATAGGTAGATTGAATTATGATGGCGCAATAAAATAATTCTCAGATTTATAATACAGAAAACATGTAGCAATAGCCTCGACATATGTGAGTAACCTTGTTACAGAATGGCATGTGTCAGATGAAGAAAGTTGCTCGGATCACAGACATATACATCTCAAAGTCAAGAGCAACATAATTCAAGAAACTTTTCGGAACCCAAGTAAAACGAAATGGGGAGCCTATCAAGCAGACCTATCCCGTGCAGAGAAAGATAAGTACGAACGAGGACCTTGAGGGGGCTGTGGAGCAATTCAATGACATAGTCACCTCAGCGTTCAATAACAACTGTCCCCTAATCACAAGGAAGGCTACATGTGCCCTGGTGGAGCTACGAACTTGCAAGACTAAGGAAACAAGTTAGAAAGAAATTCAATAGTGCAAAAAAATCAGGATAGTGGGATGAATACAAGAACGCCCTGACCGGATACAAAAAAAGCGATCAACAAATCTGAAAGTGACTCCTGGAGGAAGTACTGTGAGGAGATAGAAAGCACTCAGGAATGCGATAGACTCCAAAGGATACTCTCCAAAGATTCAAAATGTACAATATACTCTTTCAAGAAAGACTGGATTCAGGCAAAACATAAGAGCTACTGGGAAAACATCCCAAGAAACAGACATGGGAAACAATACATTAAGGAACCAAGTCATAAACGAACTGTATAGACCTGCTCAACTTGAACAGAGCACAGATAAAAACTGTTACGGGACTTATGACTGGCCTTGCGCCAGTAACGGAACATCTCGCCAGAATGGGACTGTACAATGGCGACCCAAGCTGCATACTATGTGGCAAGAAACCAGAAACAGTAGCACATATACTGTGCCGATGTGAGGCATTGGACCGTAGAAGGCAGAAGATCTTTGGGCAACCAGTTGGCGAACCAGAAGTATTCAACTCACATCAAGTGAAGGATTTGTACAGACTTGTTCAAGGTACAGAAATAATGGAGTGGGCACAATAAAGAACTACTAGGTAAGATACAATGGGCCACCATAGGCCTAAGTGTCGTCGGAGACATGGTCAGACGAGCCTACAAACGGGGTGGAGTTTTTAGTGGGTAAACCCTGGCTAGAGTCAGGGGAGTCCCACACTATCATATGGGGGACCGGACCCATATGTTGTCCATAAAGGATTCAAACCACCTCGACAAAAAAAAACAGAAAATAAGGAGTGATATATATGGTAGTATATGTGTCACATAGTAATTTCGTTATGGTTTAGTTCTGTTATTTTGTACATATCTGATTCTAGTTTAGATTTAAAAATTGGTGAGAAAAAAACAGGAGAAGAAAAAATAAAGGCAGGGCCCCAGAAATCGTAGATCCGCCACTGATCATGCTATCATCAAAACTGAATTCACAACAGCAACAACTGACGTTATCTATTGAGTAACTTAGTTTTAGATAAACGAGGTACCTACATCATGAATCTTTTTCGAACTGATAAACGTACCTGTTGTTTATCCTTTTTTGTTCCTGCTTCCTATTCCAATCATTCATGGACTCTACAACGGCTTGGTATATTTTGGCATCGTTGAGTTCGTCTAGCACCTCTACAGAGGGGTGAACCCAGGGTAACGTAGCCGCTGAAACAAAACAAAAAAACTCGTTAGAAACAATACGACACACATGCTGAAAATAATTTAAATATAATGGAATATGATAATTCCTCGACGGTATGAAGAGGATTCGATTTCTCTGCAAATATTTCAGTATCTGCTGATGCTGAAAAATAAGGTTCACGCACGTTCACGTAATAATCCAATTATAGAGGATTCCAAGATATCGGCGATAAACGTATCGAAGAACTATTATTTTGAATTATTGATTAGTGTTTAATTACCGAATCCAAGCGTTCACTTTCGGCTAGGTGCGACAATAGCACTATGTGTAACAGCGAATTTTGCCTTGTTATTTTTTTTTTTCAATGAGGTGTAGTTTAAGTACTGTCTGTAGATCGGAGAGGTTGTATATTCATTTTTGCAGATTTCTTTGAGATTTTCTCTTCTAGCTTCTATAAAATGAAGATATGAGCTAGTATTATTCCAATATACATGCAGTGAGGACAAACCATATGGTTTTCCCCAAAATGTCACTGCGTTAAAATTTTTCCTATCAGATATTCTTAGAGAATGCATTCGCTTGTCAGTGACACTTATTTGTTTCGAAAAAGGTTTGGAGAAGAGGAATATAGGTATATAAAAAATTATCACTGCTTTTTTAGGTTATGTTCCACCTTGAGGGCAGATATCTTTTTGAGGAGCTACTACTGTAATCACTAATTCAGTATCTCTTGAAGATCTAGATGAAGATTTCCATAAGATAAATAAGAAAACAATTTTCACTCATCTTTGGGCGTTTCGAGAACGAATCTACCAACGTCACTATTTGTCACTGAGAAGGGTCAAAACTAATAGGTATATACGTACCTGACCAACATTTGTGTGAATACTATTCTCAATTTTTATGTAGGAAACAGGGGCAGATTCGTTCCCGAAACGACCAATGATGAGTGAAAATTTGATATCCCCTATATTTCTCTTTTCCAAACCTTTCTCGGAGCAAAGTGTCACTGACAAGCGAATTTATTTTTTTGTCTTAGGCTCTCGCAGTAAAATTTTGCGGCAAACTATGTGGTCTGTCCCCACTACACGTATATTGAAATAATACTCATATTTTTATTTCATAGAGACGCAGAGAGAATAATCCAAAAAATTTGCAATAATGAAGGTGTGGTTTGTTGAAAGTTTATTTATGTGGATAACAGTTTTCGTAAAAATGCTTGTACAGAAATCGATTTGGCACACCCTGTTTTATTTGAATAGGTATAAGTTGGATTCTCAACAGTCACTCACATTTAATTGGGGTTTCCCATTTGGAAATCACTTCATAACATATCCACAATGTTAAGTATAATGCGAAAAATATTAAACAATAGTGATTTGACAACGACATCACTTCAACTACGAAACAAAATAATGAAACAACTACCGTGTTTTTTCACGATAATGTTAAATTTATTAGTCTCAATAAATAATGTCCAATTACAGATAACACCTTTCGTGAGGTAGCTCCTGAACAGTAATGAAATCAACAGCATATCAAATTTTATTCAATTAATTTTGTCTGCTGTTCCACATGCCATATTTTCAAATTAGGTTTACATTTTCCCCAATTTCAGTTTTCGAGGAAAGTGAGTACATACATATTTCCAATTTGGTGGAGAAATTTCACATTTTCAATATTTCTCTTATTTATTAAATTTGTACTTTGACTCGTTTTTTACTTCGAAATTTGTCCTCAAAATTCGGATCACTGCAGGCTTGTTGACTTACTGTAATTTGATGTTCTATTTTACTGAACTCAGTCTAGTTATCTGAATTTCTGTACCATCTTTTTCATCTTCCAGAACGCACGAAAGAAAATTCTTATTATATTCGTGGAAATTCGTGAGTATAGGTTCCTAGGAAGGATAGGGATAGGAGATGGGTGTAGCTCAATATAATAAAGTGGATTGTATAGCCTGGTATACATTGTTGATTATCGCAATGTTTCAAGATCTTCCGGTAGAGCTATATGGCATACAGAAAAGTGCACAAAAAACGGCCAGGATTGCAACTTTTGAATTATTCTAGATAGGGTTTTGAAAATTGGTGGGTAGCAAGTATACCAAATTGTTCATTGATTGATGAAACAATTTTTCGTTTATCACTTCCAGTTTCACCGGAAACGACCCCAACTTTTGATTTTCAAATGAGACACCCTGTATTGTATTCCATAATCGATTAGGGATCATCATGACGAATTAAATGATAGGGTTATTTCAAACTATTACAAAGATATTTGCGTTCGAAGTTTCCACATGCTCAATGGGTGTGACTTCGCAATATCAAAACTTCTTTCTCTGTCACACTATCATTGGGCATATGGGAACTTAAAACGCGAATATCTGCGTAATCATTTGAAATAACCCCATCACACCCGGTACACGGAAAAAAAAGTTTTGTTGCATCAACAAAATAATTTTAGTTACCTATCTTTCTTTCGTTAAATTAACCACAATTGTGCGAAATCAACAATATATATGTTTATTCCAAATAAGCAACCTATTCAAAGAGACAAAATAATTTGATTGAAATATTTGCTCACTTGAACAAAAGTTTCATTTCATTCAACAACATTATAGTTGACATAAATCAAATTTTGTTGATCCAACTATTATCTCATTGTTCAATCAATCATAAGCATTTTGTCTATTCGACAAAATTAAATTAATTTTGACAAAGATTTTACTGAATTCAACATCATATTTGGTTGAGACAACAATCATTTCATCGTGCAACCAATTGAAGGTTTTTTTCTATTCGACAAAATTAAATTGATTATGACAACATTATATTTTGTTGATTCAACACATCACTTTCAAGAAATATGTTGTTATTTCAAACAAATTAGTTGGTTGAACAGAACCCACAAGTACATTCGATCAAACAAAAATTTTGTTAAATGATTATCTAGTTGCATTTTTGCCACCAGGTGGCGTTTCTTCCAACCTTCCTACGCTCGCCTCGATTGGGGTATACATATACCTACCTAAAACATCCGAGGCTATCCTAGAATTTCTTATGACGCTTCTACAAGCTTATAGTCTTGAATCAATTGAAGAAATTGATCTCTAATATCTTTTATTTCTGAAATTCAGTTATTAGATTTTTTTTAAATTATTCAGCAAAATATTTTGTCAATTCTATATACAATAATTTTGTTGATCGAAGAATATATATTATGTTAACATATTCACTCTCTTGAAAACTGAAAATTTCGTCACTTGAATGAAATGATATAATCATTTCAATCACCATAATCGTTCATAAGAGCAGATATTGTATTATAGGAACAAAATAATCCTTGTTCATTCAACCAATTCCTGCTGTAAATTTGAATCATTAATGAGTTACATCAAATAAATCTTGAATTGAAAACTGACATTTGTTGCGGTGACAAAATATTTTGTCGTGGATATATGACACTCAGATTTTGTTGAATTCACAAAAATGTTGTAGTTTCAAACAATTTTTTTTCTGTGTATCGATAAAACCGTTATGATGACAATCCCTAACCGATTATAGAATACAATATAGGGTCAAAAGTTTGGGTCGTTTCCTGTGAAACCGGAAGTGATAGAACAAATATTGTTTCGTGAATTGATGAGCAATTTGGTATACTAGCTGCCCATCAATTTTCAAAATCCTATCTCGAATAATTCGAAAGTTACAGTCCTGGCCGTTTTTTGTGCACTTCTCTGTATGTCAAACAAAACGAGGCAGTGATTTCCTTTCGATCCCTGGGAATACAGTTGGGCTCCTAGCAAAACCGTTCGCTCTCCGAGCTGGCCAGCTGTCACAAGAAAATATCCTGTCTAATTGGAGACGTTTATCGAGTGGGTCAATCAAACGAATATATTCGATTCTTCGATCGAATTTCAGCGGATATATCATTCCTGCCACCTGCCCTATCTATACGCAGCTTCGCAGAAATGGAAGATGAAAAAATAACCATTGAAGAAGCTGATCATTTGAAATATTTAGGGGTAGAGATTGATCGAAATTTGAAATGGAATATCCACATGAAATATTTAATACATAAACTTAGATCGATACTCTTCAGATACAGGAAACTCAAAAGCATTTTGAATATTTCAGACATGAGAACAATATATCACTCACTGGTCGAATCCCATATCATATACGGCGTCGCGGGTCGCGGGGTACAAGAATCATTTGAAGTAACTAGAAGAAACAAAATTTATAAAAATAGCATATGGAAAAAAGTTCCTATTCATGTGATCATCTCTTCGAAGAAAGTGGTTTCATGGATATCAGACAACTCTATATTCAAAAAAATTTCATGATACAACACAAAAATAGAAATGAACTAATCACTATCCAACATAAATATGATACTAGACAAAAAATCGAAGCGAACCTTGAGAACTAAAAAATCCAATACACAAAAGTCCTGCATCAATCTTGCTCCATATATTTACAGATTGCTTTCTACGAAAATAAGAGACATATGCTATGAAAAACACGTCAAAATAGAATTGAAAACATGGTTGCTTTATTCTTCTAGATCACTGTTACATAGACTTGTAGAAGACTAAAAACTATCGAACGCATGAGTTTGTATTATCATAAAAATAATAATTTTGGTTGTCATCATTGACTCCCACTGATTATACCACTTTTTTCTTCATTGCCATTGTGATTGTGATTGTGTGATTATGAGAAAAAAAGTTATAGTATTGAATCCATGTTTATACAAATCTTACCTGATCAGGTTATGATATTTTGTTGTGTTATATTATGTTTTCTTTTTTTTAATACTCATCAAAAACAAAAACAAAAGTATTGGGTATAAAGAGTTTTCACCACGAACAAGTTGAAAGACTTCAGTGGGACTTTACCCATTATTCAGTTATTTTGAAAATGATGTTGATGAATTGTAATTATTCCGAATTTGAAAATGATAGTTATTTATCATACAAGGGAAAAAAGTACAAGAAACCTGGAGCTAAAATCTAATA